TTACCCTTAAAATCCCAGGTACTTGCCCCATTTTGGAGGGCTCATGGACGTGCCAACGCGTTGTAGGGCGCGGTCGTCGAGAGCCGAAAGGAAATCACCCCATTGAAATGGGGTTCCCTCAATCTTGGCACAGATCCAAATAGCTCAAAGCAACACTCAAGGTCAAAGCGCGTGTTTTTGCCGAGTTTCGGGGACACTCACCTCGGAAAGAAAGGGTGACAGGTCTACCAGGAATGGGCATGAAGGGGCATACCAATACCTTCGAAGCTTTTGTCCCATGGGATGTCTTTTTTTGGAGACTTGGCGTTGTTTCTTTTGGTTTGTATGCGGAAAAACATAGGGAGATATCTTCGAATTCATACCCAGCGGGTTTCTTGATCTATCTGAAACCATGGAGCTGGAAACACGAGGAACATGGCGAAGCGCAGTGAGATATCCGAGGGCGGCTGACACTTCCAGCACCTGTTGAAGAAATACATCTTTGTTGTTTTCACCTGTTGGTTGTAAAGGGAATCTATTACTGGAAATGGTCCCGGGTGTTGGGAATGAACCGTTTGGGGATGACCGAATAAAGGAAACCACCATTTGGATGGTTTGTCTCGGTCATTCCTTCATTTCTCATTCCTGCCTATCGCACCAGCAAGCTCATGTTTTATTTTCCAGAAGACCTGAAAAGCCCCAGACCCCACCTAAAAATAACCCCAACTGAACTGCCCTAGACCCCCCCCCAAACACCAAGAAGACCCTAGACCCAAGCTCAAAAACCAAAAAGAAAAGCCCCCACTGAAAAGCCAACAACACCCCAGCCCAACCAAAACCACCCAACAACAACAACCCGCCAGATGAATCTCCTCCTCTCAGCCCACCGGGCGGATTTCTGAAGCCGTTGAAGTCGCTGGGGCGAAGCCGCGAGGTACGGCTTCGAGCTGGCCATTAAGAGCAGCGAGCTGGAGGGCCCAGCTTCGTTCATGAGACGGGATTCTGCGGGCATCGAGTCTCGCTTGGTTTTTTTTGGAGGGACTTTGGAGTACCCGTATTTTGGAGGGCCCAGAGTGTTTGGTGGGTTCAAAGAAGCCTCTTTCTTTTGTGAGGGTACTGAAAAGGGTTGTGCCGAGATTTGTTCGGGGGGCAGCTCTCGGTCCTTTTTTTTGGTAGGTGCTCATGGCTTTTTGGGGGAAGTGGCTCGCCTTTGCTCGGTTTACTTGGATGTTCAACCTAGTCAGTGGGTTGCCACGGTACGTCAACCTTTGTCGCACTCATGATCCATGGTTATAGTATAGCCTTGCTAAGTAGGTTGAACATGCATGGCACCTGCTGCGGGTTTCACTCCATCGCAAGGTACAAAACCCACGCGGAGGAGAAGGCCATTTCAGGGAAAAATCCGGGCGATGCTTCCTGGGCAATGACCCCAAATCCTGTCCAGTTCCTTTCATACACTGTGGATGGTTGCGAAATCCAGTTCGCGCCCACCTTTCAGAAACCCTGGCTTCTGAGGATTCCCCTGTAACTACCAACGAACAATGGCCTCTACCATGGTTTTAATAGTGGTGCGAAATGGATTTCGTCCATCCACAGCATGAATCAGGTGCCCCGTTTGTGGTTCGGATTGGTGGAGATTTGAACCCCTTTTGAGACATGGGGATTGCAACTAGCATGTTAGCGGGTGCCTCCAAGAGGCAGTTGATTTTCCAGGTAGCTCCCACAGGTGCTACGTTTTTGGAAGGAAGGGAATCCATTTTAGCAAATGGAAGATTTCCTACTGTGGATGGACGAAATCCATTTCACTCCACTTTGACAACATGGGAGACCATGATTTGTTGGTATTAGGGGAGTCATGACAGGGTTTCTTAGGTGGTGCGAAGTGATTGGTAGTAGCATTGATCAAACCTTCTCCGATCGCTCGAGACGTTTTGTGCCTTGCCGCGAAACCGGTAAAAAACACGGCGTGCGCAAAACGCGTGAAGCAAAAATCCGACGGCGGGGTTCGTGGTTCTGGAACAGAGATGCGAGGGAACGCCAATTTGAGACCCCTTCTGAGTTTGAAGTCCTCGGGTCTCAAGGTCGTTCTCACCAGCGACCCAGCGACTCGAGGTTGCTCTCTCCGCCGGAGCAAACAGGTCGCTAGATCTTTCGTAAAGAACCATCCAGTCACACCTGGAAGGAAAAACAAGTTGGTCGGGTGTTCCAAACCATATGGCAACGCCCAACTTTGCCTTTCTCACTTCCTAAGTTGCCAACACATATTCCAACTGATTGAGTGACACAAGAATGGTCCAAACCCAAAAAGTGACTGAAGACCTCAGGGAGTGAAACTGAAGCCTAACCTTCTGGCAGTTGGCTACCTCGTATGGGTCCCGCGGCATCCTATCTGCGCGCGAACGGCTGGTTGGCTAGGGAAGCTTGAAATCCATGCCGAACCCACCAGGGAATCCACCACTTCCCGGTAAATCAGAAGGTTTGTAGGGGTTCCTTTGTAAATTTTGCAGGGGACGTGGTCAAGGTCGTTTTCGCTAACACATATTGGCATTTGGTATGGGGTGGCTTTTGAAGCATTTCGTGGGCGACTGACAAAGTTGCTAGTCACTTTTTGGTTCTTTGCTTTCCCGCTAAGCAGGGTCCGAGGATACACCAAGCGTTTACCTGGTACATGTAAAAAGCCTTTTAAACAGCGGGTAAAGCCGGCCAACATGCGGGTGTGTCTGAAAAATAGGGAATCTTCAAACTGGAAGTGTAAAAAGGGTAATCACCTCAAAAAGGACACCCCAGTCACGTATGCGTTTTGCGGAAGTCTGGAGAAAAAAAAGGAAGCCATTCCCAAGCCGATCGCCCATTTTTGTGTTTGACCCCATGAAGCGTTTTCCCGGGTCTTCCACTTCTGAACCTTGCCAGGAAGACTCCCAGGCACGATGCCCGGGACGAGCGAACCCGAGAATCGCAGGGGTCTGGGGGTCAAGGTCAAGCCAAAAACTTAGAGGGGGATGCAAAAGGATGCGGGCTGTTACAGGTCACCGAAGACCATATCCGGATTGGCCCTGGAGGAAACCTATGAATCCACCAACATCACATTTATGAGATGTTTGTTTGTTGGGTTTTAAAGGGTATCCATGAGAGGTTTATATAATACGTGCTTGTTGGTTTTCAATGGAAACTGAAAAGAAGCCACACATTCTGCGGGTTCCATATCCTCTTTGAGGAACTCCATCTGCAGAGTCCAGATCTATGCCACTCTCGGAGACATGCATCTTGGGAAGCCTGCATGACGAAACCCATAAGGGGGACATGTCACCCACAAAGGACCACTAAAAGCGGACACCTACTGTGGATGGACGAAATCCTGCACCAGTTGGAGTGGATGCCCTGTGAGTACTGGGACAAGCAACCATCTACCAACTGCATGGTTTTGTCCACCCATATTACATCCACCAAACAGTTTCCCAAAATCCAGTTTCCAGGCCTTGGTTGGATGTGGCTTTGGGTCTTCCAGGTGTTTCTGCAGCTCGCTCCAGTCTTCCGGACCACTTTCCAGAGACGAACGCTGGTCCCTCTTTGGGGTCACTCCGCCCGACTCTTTGACTGAGCGGCAGTGACGTCTATTGGCGAAGGTTTCCTTCCTTGCTTCCATCAGCGGTTGCTCTCTTTGTTTTACTCTCTGCTGGGAGATTTAATGAGAAGCCCGGATCTAAGTAGAAGCCCTGGTTGCTTAACATCGGATCCAGGGGCGAGTTTCTAGATCCGGGGGTTCCCAATACACACCACCTGTTGGCGGTCGCCAGGGATGGATTGCAAGGGTGCACCCACCGTCCCGAGAGCTATTCCCGGAATTTTGCGGATTCTCCATCCAAGGGTCTCCAACCCTAAACAATGTTCTCTTGTATGTAGACACAATATGAAGCAGAATGAACACAAGGTTTGCTTCCTTGGTGTCTCCCAGCCATCCCCTTAGGTCTTGAGGTTTTGGTTGATGTAGTGCTCGGGCTTGATTTCAACCCAAAAGTTCATCTTTTGGCAGGGGGATCAGGATCAGTTTGGACAGCCCAGTTTCTTTTTTAAGCAGGCCAAATCAAGAGTCTTTTGGGCTGTGCGTCTGGGAGGACTCGATTTTTGTCCGGAGTTTTGCGCCTTCACACGCCACCGGAACCTGATCAAGCCAAGTGATTTGGCCTCAACCCCAGGCTCCCAGGCCTGAAGGCAGGGGAAACAGTGGGGCGTTGCGCTGCCTTCCCGAGGATTTTTTTTTGGGGGAGTTAGGGCGCTTTGGCTCTCCGATCAACTGGGATCGTGGTCTACGTGTCTTGTCCATGGCTCCTGAGCTCCCCTCATGTCCATGGCCAGATTACCCTTTCTTTCCCACCAAAAAGGGGTACCAACTCAAGAGAATGTGTCTACTGCAACCAAGTGGATGCGAGAGCTAAACGCTTAGTAGCCAACCCCCAGAGCCTCGGCGTGTGCATGTGCGTCTCAAGCTGCTCATGGCGTAGACTGGGTCCCACCCGCAAGTGGCACGGCAGCTCGGGGAACCTCAAAATTTTAGTGCAAGGGGTCCCGGTGGGCAACCCCTTGGAACCAGGTCCTTTAAAGCAAAGACTTGGAGTTCCTCAAAGGGGTTGTCATTTAATTCGGAGGTCACCTGGATCGAAAACTTGAGAAGACAGCTGCGAGAAATTTCGCCCCCCCAAGGTGATCTACCACTGAGCCAACATATACGCACCAACGGGACGACACCAAAGCTGCCCAAGCTCCCAAAAGGAGATTCGGAGATTCCTCTAGCAAGGCGCGTTTGTTTGTTTCCACCACAAGCATACCATTTATTGAGTATTTGTTTATTTTGTTTGCTTGCTTGTTTGATTGTTTGTTTGCTTGCTTGTTTGTTTGGTTGTTTCTTTGTTTGTTTGCCTGTTTGCTCGTTTGTTTGGTTGTTTGCGTGTTTGTTTGTTCGAAGGACATTCCTCTGCACATTTCTTTGTTTGCTTGCTTTGTTTCTTTGTTCCCACGTTGCAATTCTGAAGAGTCTTCACCCCGCGTCACATCCGCGCGCGTGGATGCCTCGCGATGCCGCGCGATGTGCGCAAAGCAGCGCCCCTTGGCCTGAAAATGGAACCGCAAATGCCGCACATGTGGCCTGCAACTGGGTCAGTCTTTTTGTTGGGACCTTTTTTTGTGGATGGTTTGAAAGGGAAACCAAAAGGAAGCCAACCATTGTGGGGTCCCGCTAATGTTGAGACACACCCAACTGGGTGTCCCTAAAAATGGGATTTGGCCTCCCATTAGGTGACTGTGGTTGCGAAGAATGGCAGCTGATTTGCCCCCGGGCTAGCATGCCTTATAACGGCCGGGGTAGGTAATGCTTGGGCCTACACCCAATTTAACATGTAAGCCCCAGTTTTGTTGCTAGTTCTCCTTTCGATGAGTTCCCGGGCTTTTGGTAAGTGCGCCAAACCCTTCTCCTGCGGGTGGGGTGGGGGTACGGTTGCATTTCTTTCTGCTTCAGCTGCTGAGGAATCTTCGTTTTCCGGTGAGGAACACCTTCCATTTGCTTGTTGGGGCTGAAGTGGTGGTGCGGATTGGTGGTTTCGGGGTTTGAACCCCACTTTGGAAGCTTCGGGATCCCCCGGAAGTTGGAGCACTTGGAAGTTCAAGCCGCTCATGTAATGTCAACTCGGAGAAATCCGGGGTACCCCACCAATCAGACGACCCCTCTAAACTAGCTCATGTCCTTACTAAAAGGGAACCGATTTTGATAAAGCTTTTTTCTGTGCTTTATAGGATTGCGAGTTCCAGCAACGCCAGTCATGGCGCACTCAGCGATCGCGTCGCCAGAGCTTGAAACAAATGGCAGTGAGATGCTACCAACCGTGGGCCGCGGCCTTGGCCATCCAAGCGCAACCTCCTTTGAACTGAACCCCTCTACCAATGATTCCTAGGCGCGGAGGAAGCTTTCGCCTGAAGAGTTTCCCACATTTTTGGGGGTTTTCCTGTTGGTTTCAGAGTGGACCGGTTTCTGGTGAAACACCTAGTTTCTGTGGCACCGGAGCAACTTGAAGCATAGTCTACAGTATATCCAGGGGACCCCCCTCAAAAAAGCATCTAGGCCCCCCAGTCCCTACTAAAATAGACTACAGAGAAACAAATACCCTTATTCTAACCTCTCTACTGGAGCACCTAGATGAGCTTACCCACCAGGAGGGCCCCTGACATAGGCGTCCTTTTGGGTCAGCTTGATACCGATGGATTCCACTGGTGTTAGTTTCTCACTTGGTTGCCCACTGCTAGGCTTCGAAGGTGCGGAATCTCAGAAACCTCGTGGACAACTTTTCGCCGAGCCTGGGGGGAATCACCTCCGCCATCCGAGCAAGCAGAGGCGCGGGAGGAAGGGAATTCCAACTTTAGCCACTGCCAAAACTTGGGGTGGGGGTCATGGTTGTTGTTGGGAATCATTTTACATTTTTGCTCATTGCGGTTTAGTGGCAAATCCCCACTTGACTGCTAAAATTTAAATTTTTGCTCCCCTTCCAACGTCAACCAAGCGGTGGGGAAAGAAGCACCATATGGTGGGGTTCGGGATGGAGCCCTTAGGGAATTTAGATGATAACCCATTCCACGGCCACGGTTGTGACCATGGCCCACAGTTGCGCTGAGTTTTGACCATGGCAGATATAGCTACCAGGGTTTGTCTGTTTTTGAGGCTACCCTTTGTGAGCTTGTCTTGAAGGGAAGCCAAATGGAAACCAACCATAGGGGTTCCCGAGACGGCAGGCAATCCAGGTGCATCGGAATTGTGGCTGGCCCTCTCTTCGACTTGAAAGCAACTGGCGCCCGAGTGTAAAGAGCCAAGGAGCAGTTGCACCTGCTTGCAAAGTGGCATTTCGGCTTTATGAGACCACCCCCCCAAATGCTGCAGTTTCCAAGGTGTACTTGGGAGGGCGTGTCCCTCAAAAGGGCAAGGACGGACGCTCATTTCAAACCATGCGCAGAGCAGCTGCCCCAGAAAAAGGACACCTCAAACGGATTCCTTTGGAGGCCGACTACACAGGGGGGGTGCTTAAACCATGGTTTAAGCACAGGCTTGGCCCAACCGACAATCAGAACTGATTGGGGTAGATCAAGGAAACGTGCACAGGCTTTGGGTCAACGTATCCAGAAGTCTACGTCCAATTGCTTAAGATGTGTTGTACGTATATTTCCCTCGTTGGCGTTTAAGGGAACCCATCACTGGGAGTATGTTCTCATTTTTTCCAAGGGACATATTCGCAAATGGGTGTGTTTGTTGTTGAGCCCCCCCCCCCGATTTTTGTGGCCTTAAAAGCAAACCAATTTAAACACCATTGTGCCATTTTTAGGGACCCCTACAAAAGGACACACGCAAAGGTATGTCATTGGTCCACTTGAGCTACAATCAACACCCAACTAGATGAAGATTGGTAAGGGATAGCCGCACCATAAATGGGTGCAGCCTCCTTGATAATTCTTTACATGGTTCTGGATACACCATTTTAGCACTGATCGGTTTTGATTACTTCCATTTGCTTAAGAGTATTTGTCATTTTCTCTGTTGGTTTTGAAGGGACATCATCACCTTCTGAAAAAAAGGTATTATTTTTTCCACGGCAAAAACGCAACAACGGAGGATTATGACTCACTCGGGGTCCTTCGCCTTGTTCAACGTGAGGCTGGCGGGAGGTTGCGGCACTGCTGGCGGTGCTGGAGGATGTGGGCCTCAGAGCCGACACGGTGGTGACCCGGATCCATCGACCCGTTCTGCGTGTTGTTCTTCCCTTGTTTCTGTTGACGCATTTCTAGAATTCATACTAAACCAGGCAGAACCTTTATACTTTTTCCATTTTTCCGGTTTCCGAATGACTATAATTCATACTAAGCCAGGTAGAACCTGGGTCTAAGTTGGCCAGGTGTTTCTCAAAATGGATGCCTTTGCGGATGGCTTTGTTTTGGGAACGGAAAATCAACCACCTGAAGGGGGGGTTCACCTCATTTTCAGAAACACCCACAGACAATCAGTGTCCCCCCCCAAGCCTGGGTTTCGGGGCCCATCAACGTTAAGAGGTCAAAGAAAGTAGGCGGGTTGGCAAGAAAAGCAACGGGCCCATGTTTCCATGTTCTATCTTAGCCCCAGGCTTCGACCAACTTGGTTTGTGCATCCTGGCATTTTCCCATCCGAGGGTATGATATGAGACGAATTCATGGTTGAACACACGGTGGGATCAGTCTGGTGTCCTTCTGATCTGTTTGCTGCAAGAAAGGATGGATTCGCCTGGTTTAGTTTGGGGCTTATTGCATGTGCCAACGATTCTTCCAACAGGGCACCCATCAGTGAGACTGTTTATACACATTTCAGGGTCCCGATTCATGTTCATGTCCTTCCATTTGGGGGCTTCCAACTCTTGAACATATCCCATGGCCACGAGAAGCATGGCTCATCCACCCTCGGGCAAAACACCGAACGGGGGATCTGGGTGATTCGAAGTGCCGGCAAGCCCGGGCTTGGAGCCCAGTTCCCGCAACGGAGATTGGTTCGCCACTTGTTCGGGAAGGGGACACCATCCCATGATTAGAACCTAGTACAAGTACCGAAGGGAGTGGGTTGGGGTAGACCAAGTACTCTGGATGGATGTGCACCATATAAATGTCTGGGCCTTTTCCTTTTGGGTTTCCCTTCCAAGCCTTTGAAGGTTTGGAACGTGAGACGCTCAGGTCTACAACGCTGCGATGACTGCCTGCAACCGTGCTGGGCACTGGCAGCAGGCCTTAGCATTGATGGACACGTGCCTAGCCAGACCAAAGCTTGTCAACTGCCTTTGATTTTACTTCCATTCTTTGCATAGCCAGACTTAAATCACCTTTTGAACTGTTCCGGAGTTGTTTTACACTCCCCCCAACTCAGCTTAGCTGTAATCTGCTTGTGGGTTTTCAACGAGGTTTTTGGGTTTCCTTCATCTGGGCGTTTCTCAAAGTTGGGAACCCTTCCAGGTAGGTGGTTTCCTTTTGGTCTCCCTTTAAAACCCATCTGAAAAGGTCACTTGCAAGGCGTCTGGATCTATCCTCTAGAAAACGGCTTGGACGCGCTTTTGGTAGTTTTCACCAGTTCTTCCCCCCTGTTGGTCCTTTTTTAATACGCTTTTCGTACTCCTTCAAAATTCTACAGGGGAGATGGATCTGCAAAAGCCACATCCACACCGTTTTCTAGATATCCGAGGTTGGAGACTCGCAGCTTGCAGGCGGACTTGATCACTTTCAGCGTGGCCATCGGCGCGAGTTCCAAGGCTACCCAGTGGCTCAGGACTGAGAAGTGTTTTTTTTGTTCTTCTTCTTTTTCTTTCTTTTTTACTCCGTTGCGTCTCACCGATTCCGAGGATTCCCGTTTCAGGCCATTCAGAATACCTAGTGACAGTAACCCGCAGTTAGCGCAAGGACGCCCCCCAATTGTGGCCAGCCCATCTCTTGGGAAATCTGCAAATGCGTACCAACCTGTACTTATTGGTTGGGTATGCTAACTGATTGTTACTCGTTCCAGGTGGTTCGGTTCCTACCTGGTTTCATTTGGGTTGTAAGGCGGCCTAGATAAACCACCGACCAAAATCAACCAACCCCGGAAAAGGGAAAGCCACTGGGCAAGGTGGCAAGTGGCACTTCAGCTGCTTTCCAGGCTTGAAAGAACCGGTATGCGAGCAGACTTGTGGATCTATAGTGCAGCCATTGGGGCATGCGGAAGGGGGGAGCAGTGGTGGCAAGCAGTCGCCCTCCTAGCGAGGATGCAGCAGGAGGAGTTGGAAGCAGATGTAGTGGCTTATAGCACAACCCTAAGCAGTTGTGCCAGTGCGCATCAATGGCAGCGAGCCTTAGGCTACATGGCAGAAATGAAGAAGGAAGGTTTGCAGCCTGATGCGATCGCCTACAATTCGGCAATGAACGCTGTGACGAAGGGGAATCGCTGGGAACAGGTGCTGGGATTGTTAGGGTCGCTTGAGTCGCAAGGTGTGCGAGCAGATGGTTTTACCACAACATCTGCCATCAGCGCTACACAGATCGCCAGCTGGCGCAGTGCGTTGCTTGTAGCTTTGCCTTCAAGCTTTTCCACGGAATCGTTGAACTCTCTGCTGTCCTCCTGTGGCAGCACCCTTCGATGGCAGCAAAGCTTAAGCATTTTCGAGCTTTCGCGGCTTTGGCGCGTGCCTGCGGATCAGATCTCGGCCAACACGCTCACGGCCTGCCAAGCGCGGTGGCAGCAGTCGGCGTGGCTGCTGCAGTGGCTGGAGAGGGCGAAGCTGGAGCCGAATGTGCGGGCCTACACTGCAGCAAGCACCGCATCGGCATTGGATGATACGAAGAGAGGAGTTTGGGCGCACTCCTTGCAACTGATCGGAGCCTTGGTCTGAAGATCAAGCTTGCGTTTCATGCGGCGTGCCTTGCACCTTTGGCCTTGCCTTAACCAATCTAGACATAGGGTATATACCACGAGAGCCATGAGCTCGAGTTCTTTGGGGTCTGGGGGGTCACCCCGAAGCAACCTTTTTTGGTACATGCGGTCTTCTGTTTTTAGGGGGCCCCTTTTTGAAGTGGGATTAAGCGAGAAACCATACGGCAAGCCGAATCCGCGCCATTTTGGGGGCACGGCTCCACTCAAAGACCATCGGGTCGAACGGGTGAAGGAGGCCATGCCACCCAATAAGGGACAAAGTTCAGAGCGGATGATGCAGGTGATGCAGGGCCTCGCATCTCTGCAACATCCTTCCTAAAAACCCGGTTTTGGGGAGACCTTCTTGCATGCAAAAAAGATCTTCGAGGGGCGCCTCCAAAACTCTCTCCAAAACTCTCTCCAACAAGTTCTTTGGCGCCCCTGCTCGTGCCCTGTATGCACGTGTCCTATTTTGCAAAACGTTGGTTTTTGCTGAGCCACTGTGCGCCCCAAACCGGAGCGCCCTGTTGAGTGCCCATACCTCCCTTCGCGTCGAAGCCCCTGTGCGCCCCCTCATGGCCTGCACGTGTCTCATTTTGCTTGACGCGTTCCCTTCCCTCCTTGCAGCCTGTCTTGCATGCCCTTTGCTTTTGCGAGCTCCCCCTCCCTCCCCCACAAGCGCTTTTTGGGAGCCCTTCAAACGCGTTCCTTCAAACGCGGGTTTTTGGGAGCTCCCTTCGAGCCTCCCAATGTGTCTTTCCCCTAACATGCGCTACACGACTTTTGGTTGCCCCAGTGCCCCTCCCTTGCCGAGCCCCTGCCGCGGCCCGAAAAGCCGAACGACCCCGCAAGCCGCTCGTCCCCTGTATGCACGCATCCAAATTTGGCTTGATGTGTGCCCTTCCGTGTTTGCCTTTGCGATACGCGGGCCAAAACGAAGCCCCTGTTGCTTGCCCCTACCTTCCATTGTGTCAAAGCCCCTGCTGCATGCCCGTGCGAAAACTTGTGTTAGAGCAGGGCCTTGCGGCTTCTGCACGGTACTTGTCACGAATGGCATTTTTCCCCTCCCTGAACACCGCCTCGCCGTTCCCTCCCAGGTTTTCCCGGCCCCCCCCTCCCCCTGCCTCCCAAGAGCCACGGTTTTGGTCGAAGCCCCTTCCAAGGAGCCGGCCGGCTTAGGGCCTCTGAAGATTCAGTGCTGTGGACGAGCACCGCAAAAGCCTTGGAGCCGCCTGGCTGACGTCGTTTTGTGGTGGTGAGGCTCGGTACCCTCCTTGGGGTGGTCCGGTTCCAAGGTTTGTCGGTCGCTTTCAGCGTAATTCGGTTTTCAGGGAACCCAAGCCAGTCCCAGTGGCTTGAACCTCGCCAACCCAAAACGAACGCGAGCCCCTCCTTTTCAACGCCCCCCCCCCCCCCCCGTTTTCTTGGACCCCGAGAAAAACCATCCAACTGATGGTTTTAAGGGACTCCCCTTGCGCTTCTTACCCGGAAGGTCATTCGGGTCAGAGTTTTCCGGCAATGCCAGCACGGAACCCACCGAAATGACCCCAAAATCGCAGGAGCATCGTCTTGGAGTGAGGTTCCATGGACCGAATGAGATTTTATGTATTTGTTTCTGCTTAAGTCCCCTAGAGAAGATTCCAATATTATCAGTAGTGATAGATTCCTTTGAAACCAATAGGGGAAAATAACAAGTATTCTGAGGCTACCCGGTGCTTTCAGCTACCACTATGGTAGGAATACCTCTCGGTTTTCCATGGATGGATACTATACTTCCCTTAGCTTTTTGGCCTTGTAGTGTTTAGTGTTTCGTGGGGATTTCCATTTAACCCACTAAAAGTGAGTCACTTTTAGCGGGGGATCTGAAAACGGACAGCCCAGTATAGTGGCAACTGGAATTCTTGAGGCACTATACGGTGGATGCCCTAAATATTGCAAGTAAGTCAACCACAAACCATGGGAATTGTTCCAAGGGTTTCCTTTGTTCCCTACCAATTAGGGCATCCTGTGTCATTTGGAAGTGGCATCCCAGGACGGGGAACCGCTGGCAGCAAGGGCTTCAACTCCTCGAGTCCGATTTCAACGAAGTGGAAGCGAGTGTGGCGGCGATGAGCAGCTGGGGGAGAGGACAGCACTGGGAGGCGCATCGTGTCTCCACGATTTGGGTCGGGCTCCAGATATTTTTTCTTTTAAGGCTCAGTATGCACCCGTTAAAACCGCGGTTTTTCCAAGGGGAAGATGAGGAACTCCAATATTGGGGGTCCACCTGCTTTGACACATACCCATGTTACATCTTTTGTGGTAGCACTGAACGTGTCAAATGTAAGATGGACCATCATATGTGCAAACCAATAGGCGCACTGGGGCAAACATCGTGGGTCATTGTATTGGGGCTCCATACAGATGGAGCAGAATCTGCAGAATCTGAGCGTTCCTGATGTTGCGTGAATCCCTTTGTGGGGCCCAAGAGTCGGGGCTGGAGTTGGGGCAAAATGTGTGGTTTACATGTTGCAGGCAGAGAGAGAAGTGAAGCAAACCAGTTGAACAACAATCGCATGCACCTCGATGATCAACAGACACATATCTCTATATATATATATCTATATGTATCATGAACATGTGGACATATGCATACATACAGAGAGAAACAGAGAGCAGGCACTGACTTTAGTGGAACAACCTGTAGTTTTCCAGTGTTTCCTGGAAAAGGTGGTTTTGCTTGGGGGGGGGGCCTACCATATAAATATAAATATATATATATATATACACACCCGGAAACGGCCCAACTTTGTGATAGATGAAAATTAGCTGGTATCACTTCCCGGTTCCTTTTTTTTTCTCCGGGGGCCTTGAAGGGGGGGGCGGGGGGCGGGGCGAACACAATTTTCTCCAGGGACTTGTCCTTGCTGGTGCTCAGCAGGGAATGACGGTTTGGGAATGAACCGGAAGGAGATTCCCTCAACGGAAACCACAGTGGTTTGAGTCATCCCCTCATTCCTTTGGTGCATTTTGCTTGGATGTTAGGACTTTAACTTTTTGCCAACTGGTGGGTTTTCCATTAAACCACAACCAGTTTAACCTTTTGCAGGGGAGCAGAAAGCAACCGATAAATTTTCGCTTTCTGCCACTTCGCCCATTTTCAGGTCGTATTGCGGCGCTTGAACGTCGGAACGAGTCACCTGAGCGCCTGGAATGCCGGGATCGCGGGCTGCGCCAGGGCCGAGCAGCGGCCCGGGTGGCAAGCATCCGGGCGACTGTTTTTTTCTTTTTCCCCGAGGGCACCTGGTTTTGAACCAAAGGAAGGGATGCAAAGCTTCTTATTGTGGGATCGCTTTTTAGGATTGGTCTAAAGCCAAACCAAGAGGAACTTCGAAGATCGAATTCTTTGACAGATGCCCATCCGCGGGATCGATCTTATGCGCAGGGTTGGCACCAAAAGCAACCACGGGACCGGGACATGGCCATCTAAAGTCGTCCGACTTTGGGCGTTGCAACCCGAATGATTTGATTCGAGTGGGATCCCGTCATAGAAACATCCTGCACTTTTGGCGGTATTTTCGTTTTGAGGTTCACCGAAAATGGGTTTGTCTGGCGGGGGAGCCCCCAAAATGGCAATGGTTGCCTGGAGATTTCCTTGAAAAGCAACGAAAAGGGGTTCCTCAAGAAAGACACCCATATGGACCACAATACCACATCTGATTTGCAACAGCTCGGGGGCAAGTGCTGCGGTCTTTGATCGTCCCAGATGGACAACCCATGGAGAACCCGAGCTTTTGGTTTCACATTTGGCATTTTTGTTCCTGAATACCGAAGGTCAGACTGGCCCTTTTGCCCAGGGGTTTGGAGCCACCACGAAAAGTGGCGAGGCATTTTGGTCGGGATTTTCGAAGTCGCCTTTGGGGGCGGAAACCACCATGAGGGTAATCTTGAGGATGTCGCTTTATAGTTGACCCTGCACTTGTGTGTTTGCGTTATTTTTCCCTTGTAGAACAAACCAAGTGGCACAATAGAGGGCAAGTCTTTTGTGCTGTTGATTGGCACTGCTTCTTCAAACGGGTTGCCCATGGAGATCCACTGGGCAACTAAGGTGGCAAGTGGCACTGCAGCTGCTTTCCAGGCTTGAAGGGACCTGCATGCGAGCAGACTTGTGGACCTACAGTGCAGCCATCGGGGCGTGCGGAAGGGGGGAACAGTGGCGTCAAGCTGTCGCTCTCCTAGCGAGGATGCGGCAGGATAAATTGGAAGCTGATGTTGTGGCTTGCAGCGCAACCCTCAGCAGCTGTGCGAGTGCGCATCAATGGCAGCGAGCCTTAGGCTACATGGAAGAAATGACGAAGGAAGCCATGGAAGCAGATGTGATCGCCTACAATTCAGCGATGAGCGCGCTGGTAAAGGGGAACCGCTGGCAACAAGCTTTACAGCTATTTTCCGGTCTGAGTGCTGGTGACATTGCCAGACATAGCATGCCTCTTTAACTTTTGAACTCTATTTGGGTTCCTTGATTGTCCATTTGAACCAGCCCAAAGTCAGTTTAAGGGGGGGGTTGAGTCTGAGTCCGGCCCAGGTGAGGTAAGCCTGGACAAGGCGAGTTTTCAGCTACTCCTCGGGGAGTTTCTCAAGTGAGCGAATGCATTTTTGACCTCTTGCCAGCCTGCCGTCACAGCTGCTCAGTGACCCTAGGGCTTTTTCTTGTACAGACTCGTGGACTGGGGGGGGTTTTCCAAGTACGCTGTCTGTTCTTTTTGAGGGTAATTAGCATTTTTGGGTGTGGCTCAAAAGCACACCAGGAGGACAACTGCCAGTTTTGGGACAGTGGGTTTTCAATTGACTTCCCTCAAATCCAACAGGCGGGTTCCTATCTTTGGACACCCCCAATGCGCTCCAAATTTTGCAGCTGGGAAAAAGAGAGCCGGGCATACTTATAGGCTGGGTACTTCGTACATGGGTATTAACCATGCTTTTGTAAGCATGGCTACCGTGGCTGTAAGTCTCCTAAGTGGGTAATGACAAGGCGGATGCTATATTTGGGGAAGCATCCCCTTATTGATGAACAGCAGGTTGATTCCGAGGTTGACATTACAACCGTGGCACTTACCTGACACACAGAATCGCTCGCAGGAAAGTGTTTGGGCATGCTGTGTCTTTGTGCGATCCACTTCGCGGTGGGCCGGGTCCCAAAATGGTGGTTTGCCTTCAGTACTTGAAAAGGGCACGGAGCCTCAACAAAGCCCATGTGGGATGTTGTCTGTTTTTGAGTGAAGCCTACAGTTTTTGGGCGTGGCGTTGCGTCGGACACAGAGCACTTTGAGCGTCCCCGCCGGGTTGGGGGGAACCTCCCAGGGCGCCGAAAAAGACGACGCCCGAGGCGTGCGAGTGCGGTTGGGGTTCGGACCGGCGAGGCGGAAGCTTCTAGGGGAATCCGTCTTTTTCTTAGGAAGCCATCAGACACCCAGGGAAAAACAGCTGCTTTGAAAGAACCATGGCTGACAGAATGGCACATCAACCCCCGAGAAAATGGGATCACCTGGACCCTGGCCTTAGGGGAACCAAAAGGCGCGGAGGGGTCCTGTTCGGGTTGGGTTGGTGATAAATAGATGGGATCCATCGGGTTAGTATTGTTTTTCTTACATATATATATATATATATATTCCATTCACCAAAAGAACACCTATGCTTGTGGAGGCTGTTAAAAAGGCAAGTGTGTAATGCACGGCCTTGCGGCCCCACCCCGGGAAAGTTTCGCATTCGGGTTTCCGTCTTTTGAGGGTGCCTTTGTTAGGGCGAGCTTCAGGGAAAACCAAATGGACATCTCAACCAATATGTTTGTTTTTTTTGCGCGCGTGTGTGTTTTGGTGAGACAGCCCCATGTAACAACGGGCGCCTTACCTCCCTTGCTTCATCCACATTCTCTTTTTCTTTTGCCGCTGCAGCTGGGTGAAGTCACAAGTCCCAAGTTTTGGATCCCTCTTGACAAGAAAGGAATGATGCCATGACTTTCACCCTAGTGCGTATATCCTTGACATCCCCACAGGGCATTCAGTTGAGGAAACCAAACAGTTGGAAGGACTCCAACGTTGCAAAGCATCAACATGTTCAGGCTCCGAGCCTCACGATCACGTGGAGAATTGGTTTCCTATCTCCAGTTTTCAAGGGCCAAAGGCTGATTGGATTTCGGTCCACATATATATATATATATATACACAGTACCCCATGCGAATCCATTTTGGACCCGCAAAGGGCTGATATTTCCCAAACATTAGCCAGAAGTAACTGCTTTTTCACCCATAAACTAGGGGTTACCAGTGTTACCAGGGGTTCATATATGGACGTATACATTCAGCCTGAGGGCCAAGGCCCCAATTGTGCCGATGGAAGCCGTATAGGTCTCCGTTCCCAGTTCCTATCGGCCAGGTGATGAGCCTGACGAGTCGGCCGCTGAGGAAACTGCGATTGGTGATTTTGACAAAACTTAAGTTCTGTGTTAGGTTTCTCTGGAGTTAGCGAAGCGGTGTGTCATCCCCAGTTAGTCCCAGTTAACCCCCTGCATAGCCTTGTGACAAGGGTCACTAGAAAACTTAGCTACTCGGCAGACAATCCAAGTAGGACTTTAAAGCCTTGTCAAGCGGAACCCCGAACGGTCAGGGCGCAAGCGCCTTTGGTCCGAAGTCAAACGCATAGCAACCGCCTCAGAATTTTGCATCACTGGCCTCTTGTAGCCATTTCCGTTGATGAATGAAGGAAGTCTGGATGAGTTGAGCCTGGCTCAAGTATGCCTCCCAGCCACTTGCCTATATATATATGTATAAATACCTAACCTGTGTGCAGAATTGTGCATAGGCACCCAGCCCAAGCTAAGCTGACGCAACCCAACCTCTCCTCATTTTTTGGTAGGTGTTTGGCTAAATTCCTGTAGATGTGTCCGGAGCTCATATCTCAGATACGCCAATCCGGTTACATTGAAACACAACCCATCCAACACACCCCCAACCAACCAGCTTATCTGCAGGCCTCCGTGCATTCACAATTGGACAAGTTCCTGGAAAAGCAGGTAAGAAGCAAAACACAACTCGCGTTTCTCCTTTTTTTGTCCTGAAGCCACCAAGACAAACAAAGCCTCGATAAGCTTCTTTTGATTCTCAGGGGCTGTCAAGTCCAGGGCTCCCTCGCAATGGCTGCTCTGCCGCTCGCGCGGATCCCTCTGCTCTCCGTGACCGTGGCGGGGCATCAGGCGGCTGGGCGCCTGCTCACTACCAGGCAGGGGCGGGTTTCCCTTCAACAAGCGACCAGGCTCCGGCGGTCTAAACTTAAGTTTCTCCACCGCCCCAAACTTCCCACTTTTTCAACAATAGCCCTCCAGAAAGGAACTCGAATCTAGCAAAACAGCCGCCGGATGCTTTACCCCACAAACCGGCCTTTCAGCTTCAATTGCGCCCAACCCCGACCTCTTTTCTTGAATGGGCTTGGTTCATTTGGTCTTGAAACCCAGGAAAATCCACCAAAACACGGACCCTATGGTTTCCCTTTTAGCCCCAGGGCACGATCGCCTTGCGCGGCCCTGGCCCCCGCGGCGCTGTGGGCGAGCCGCGCCCTGCGCGGCCGATCCGCGCGCGGATCGCCCGCGCGCGGCGGATCCGGAGCCGCGGCGCCGGCGGCGGAGCTGGCGGAGAGCCTCCGCTGCGCGCCGCCGGGGATGGTGAAAGCGCTGGAGCAGGTGTTGGAGGCGGCAAATTTGTCGGAAAGCCCACCGAAGTCTTTTCATTCCATTAAGAGAAAAAACAGTCCTTGGGCCATGTTCGAATTTTGACTTGCTTTTGGTGGGGTGATGAGATCGGATGAGGTGTTCTTTTTTTTCCTAGGGCTGGGTTTTCTTAGGTCTTGTTTCCTGGCTGGCTGACGGTCGGTCGGTTGATGGGTTGATGGGTTGATGGGTTGATGGGTTGATGGGTTGATGGGTTGATGGGTTGATGGGTTGGTTGGTTGGTTGGTTGGTTGGTTGGTTGGTTGGTTGGTTGGTTGGTTGGTTGGTTGGTTGGTTGGTTGGTTGGTTGGTTGGTTGGTTGGTTGGTTGGTTGGTTGGTTGGTTGGTTGGTTGGTTGGTTGGTTGGTTGGTTGGTTGGTTGGTTGGTTGGTTGGTTGGTTGGTTGGTTGGTTGGTTGGTTGGTTGGTTGGTTGGTTGGTTGGTTGGTTGGTTGGTTGGTTGGCACGCACCCCCAAGCCTTGGGGTTTGAGTGAGTTTGGTCTGGTTTAGGATTGGTTCTGGAGCCTAAACCACCAAATCTAGCCCAAAACTCGTGCTCATGTCAAAGGAACCCGAAGGCCGCGGCTCAACCAGCAGCACACCGAACGCAAATCAGCTCCAACCCCAAACCAAAGACAACCCAGCCTGGATGTCAGCAAAAAGGGCTGAGCCAAAGACCAGGCTAGGGCTGAGCCAAAAAGGGCTGAGCCAATGCAAAAACCTAAAATCGCCAGCCGATGATCTGCCAGCCGAAAATCGCCCCCAACTCCCAACTGCCGACCCGAACCCCAAGCCCCAGGTCCAAGTCACGCCGCTGACATATTCTCGGCTAGTCAACTTGGCTTGGAAGGCCTTTGAAGCCGCGAAACCACGAACCCGCGCCCTTTTTAACAGCTACACTGAGCCATAAGCCCGAAGTGTTGTGCTAGATGGTCATGGTTTGTCTTGTTGCAGTGGGTTGGGGCCACCCTCATTCTCTCTAACAAAAGCACACCTTTGTGCATATTCATACGAAAAAAGGTTGGTCTACTGATTCATCCGGTTTGCGGTACGGTGGGTAGATATACCATACGTATACGTACATGCACGCATCCATGCATCCATGCGTCCCATGCATTCATCCATCCGTCCGTCCGTCCATCCATCCATCCATGCATCCGTCCGTCCATCCATCCATCCATCCATCCATCCATCCATCCATCCAGCCATCCAGCCGTCCATACATACATACATATATAACATAACATAACATAACACAACACAACACACCACAACACAACACAACACAACATAACATAACAGACCATAACACACAACATAACATAACATAAACACACACATACATACATACATACATACATACATACATACATACATACATACATACATACATACATACATACATACATACATACATACATACATACATACATACATACATACATACATACATACATACATACATACATACATACATACATACATACATACATACATACATACATACATACATACATACATACATACATACATACATACATACATACATACATACATACATACATACATACATACACACATACATACATACACACATACATGTATAAATGTATAAATGTATAACTATCTACATGTATATGTTATTAATTAATAAGCACATATATAGTTACACATACAGATGCATATGCGTCTATGTGTGTACACATATGTACAGACAACACCTATTTTCATCTAGATCCAAGCGGTGCCAGGTGGACGGCTCGCTGGTGGAGGCGTTGGGCGGTGAGCCACAGACCACGCTTGCACTCCGCGGGGCGCAGAGGGCGCTGGAGGTGGTGGCGGGGGATCTGACGCAGGCTGTGGGCCCTGGGAAGCTGCCGCCCAGCTGAAGTCGCCGGATGGGACGGACTTGGTTCTATGGTTTGCATGGTTCTGGGTCGACCATTTTAATACCAGATTTGTTTTTGACTCAAGCAAGTACATCTGGAGATATGTATTTGGCAACCGGGCCTTTGTAGAATTTGGCTTGAACCTCTCGAGTTGCTTGCTCGTGGTGGAGATGACGGTGGGGGTCCTTGAGCATGTGGTTTCCTTTAATCGAAGCCCACTACGGTTGCCCAAATGAGGTCTCCAAAATAGGACCCCCCAAACGGTGGTGTTCTCTTTCTGGTGAGTAGGGAATGTGGAATGAACCCGGGGACAAGGGATGGTTTCAAGGGTCATTCCCTCATTTTCTGCTGAGCACCAGCAAGTTGTGGGATCACTCGGGGTTTAGCCAACTACTTCTGTGACACTTTTGGGAATCTCCCCCTTGTGGGAGGGTTACCCTTTGTATGGGGGAGTACTTCCCACCAACTAACATGGAAGTGCACAGACCCCCTTTCCAAGAGGAAAGTAGTCCTTCTACAGGGGTCTGTGCACTCCATGTTAGTTGTTTTTGTCTTTGGGAAGCCCTTTTTGTTGTATGTCATTTCCCACAGCCCTGCCAAGGAATGTCCCGATGTAAGAAGCCCTTGTTGATTGATATGGGGGTCACTAAAACCAGGGACACCTCCATGTTAATAAATAGGGGTTTAGCATTCCTGGCATGATGTTAAACAGGGTACCCTTTTGGATTGAGGGAATGACCCCCATAACCCATCCCCTAAGGGGACGGGATGGCTTGCTTTAAGGGAATTCCTAGGTTCATTCCCAAAACTCGGGGTCAATCCCTACTGAGCGGCAGCAAGTTTGCAGGTCGAGGGTAAAAGACTAGTTTAACTTGCCGCACAGCAAAACCCTTACCCCCAAACCACTACTTTGAAGGGTTGAACGAGATGCCACTTTATAGACACTATGTAAAGGGTGACCTGAAACCAGGGACACCCCCATATTTAGAAATAGGGGTTCATGAATCTTGGGGTTGACATTAATCAGGCAACCCTTTTGGAGGTTAAGGGTAAACGAAGAAATCCATTTGGGATTATCCCCTAAAATGGTGGGTTTTATGTCGGGTTTCCGTTAAACCAACCCCCAATGGGTACCGCAGAAAACGCATCCCTTTTTGAGTAACCCTTAGTTGGTTTGGATTGGTGGGTTAGGATAGCGGCTTGTTACCCACTAAGGGGTAACTAGAATCCACTGAGCAGAGCAATATGGAGCCTGACAAAAGGGATTTGAAAGCGCCTTGTAGAGGGTAAACGGGAAACCGCCCATGATTACTACCAAGCCACCAATCCAAATCAGCAATTGGAAGGAAGCTGAGGAAATGCTGGGTCTGACTTACTTCAATTTCAAAACATACGATAAATGCCCTAAAATGGATGCAAGCAAACCCACCCCACCCACAAAACCATGGGGGATGACAGCAAATGAGGGAGTTCCCTTGTTTCTCTACTTGCGTCTATCGTGGTACCAGGACGAACTGGGTATTTGAAATGATTTTGTTTATTTTCCCCTGTTGTAAAGGGTATCTATCACTAAACTGGACATGTATGATTGTTCCAGGGCACTGAAGCAAACAGAAGAATCATGGTCCTGTTGTGACCGGATGGAGACGAATGGACCTTTTTCAGTGAACCACAAAAGGTCTGACGGCCTTTTGCCCACAGCTTGGATGCGATAAGAAGCGGGTGGTTTCTTTCTTTTCTATCGGGGGGGGGGGGGGGTTGTCTCCGTTCCCCTTGTGGCGGCCACTGGCCACTTTTCAAGTGCTCAAGCTGGATGCTAAGACTTGGTTTCATAAGGCTTGCATGGTTGTTGGGAAACATGTTTCCCATTTTGTCCGCTTATTTTGTGGTTTAGTGGTTGAAATCCAACCACTGAACTGCTAAAATTTAAATTTTGGCTCCCCTTCCAACGTCAACTTGTAGAAAAGTACTTTTGAAGCCTTCAGAAGCCCTCCTTGGTGGACCCAAACGTTGGGCTAAACGTTGGGGTTCCGGCCCCGCTCGATGTGGGTTTTGAGAGACACGGAGAGTCTAGGAAACGGTTCGGAGGTGGCCGAATCTGTGGATCCACCAACCTGTAGGATATTAAAGGTGTACTAAACGAGTATCAAAAAAGAACCTAGAGGGGGGAGAACAGGTGAATTCCACAAAAAGCACATCCAAACCGTTTTCTACAGAGAGGGCGACCTTTCGTCACATGACACTGGGCAAGGCTGGACACACCCTGGATCTTGGCGGGCAAGGACAGATCCGCCGTTACTTTGGAGGTCTCAGGGGCAATCGCCAAGTGGTGAGCAACGTACAAAGGTTATAAGAGCGTGAAGTGGGGGGTTCGCTGGCGATGACGGATGTTGTTGTAGCTAAGTCCCGAAGCATCTAAAAAAAACCTCCGCATAATCCTGGGAGCTTATTGTTTTTTTTTCTTCGGAGGAGGCCATTGAGGTCTTATTTTGGAGAATCAGGGGGAAAGCAGCAGGAGTTGTTTGGCACCTTTCAGGATGCCCAGTTCGAGGCTAGCTGCGGCTCATGTTCGGGATATAAGGTTGGGTCGAAACACGTAATTTGGGCGGGACATACTGGGGGAATTCATGAGTTTCCCCGCACAAACTCCAGGGGAGGAGCTCGAAGCAATTCCCATAGCCTCTGGAGAAACAAGCAATTTTGACCATGGCTCATATGGCCATGGTTCAAGACCAATGGTACCATTTTGGGAAAGGTGCACCACCCAGTTTGGTCTATTTTAGCGGGGATTGAATCGGATGTTCGCTGGGGGTACGGGGTTTTGACCCAGGGCCATATCTACTGGGATGGGCCCTTCTTTTAAAGCAAGTGGATGTTTCCCATGCCTAGCGTATAGCGGTTCCCAGCCGTACGGTTCCTTAGGCGGTGGACGTTGAGGGCTTCGAGGGGTTCGTGACACGTCCAAGTTCTTCCGCCAGGTGTTCAGGAATCAAAGGCTGATTCTCATGGGACACCATTTTGGACCCGCAAGGGGGGGCTGACATTTCCCATAATTAAGCCACAACTAACGATGAAGAAAGCCATCATGTATGGACCTATACAATCAGCCGTTGAAGGTATGTGGAGCATGGGCCTAAAAGTCCTTGGTCAAGCTGTTGGGTTTTTTTTCCGGAAGCTGGCACAAGGACACCTTTCAGAAGCAAGACACCCACCTGAGCAGCTCTCCAAATTATGGGCAGTCTCGTGTTGGTTTGCTGAGGGTGAGGGGGACAAATCGCGGAAACACAAGGCAACCTTGAGAAAAAAACCGCACGATTCCAAACCTTCACTGTTGTTAGCATCTTTTTAGGTTCTTGGGTTCTGTCCAACCTATCCTCTAGAAAACCGTTGGCATGGCATGTCCATTCTCAGTGTGCTGCAAACAAATCCCGTGAGTTGTTTCCAAACAAATATGTTAAAGGTTTGGCTACTCATTTTTTTATTTTATTTTTTAAAATAGTTTAAGTTAGGAGAAAACAAACATACTAAATAATATATCTGATGTAATAGTTTTTGATAGCCCCCGTACCAAGGCTTCGCTGGGGAGCCTCAGGAGGAGCTCCGGAACCAGCTGGCGGAGATCTTCGCCAGGTATTTGTGCGAGATCCTGGAGATTGTGCAGGCGTTCGAGACGGAAACACGTAGCTGGTTTCGCCACCAAGGAAACCATCTTCCATTTGCTTAAGAATATGTTGTATTATTCTCCCCTGTTGGTTTTAAAGGGGAACTATCACTACGTGAAAAGGGGTCTCAACCAAATGGAAGTCATCTATTTGGGTGTGGTTCCTTTAGGAGAACTACCTGGAAACCACCACCTCAAGGAAGCCATGACATCATGAAACGCACCTGGAAATTACCACCCCCCCAACGGAAACCATCTATTTGGGTGTGGTTCCTTTTTCGGGGAGAACACCCCCAAATGGTGGTTTTCCTTTTGGCTTCCCTGTAGAACAACCCATAAAGGGTAAGTAATTTGGACGTGTCCTTTGGGCGGTCCCGCCTGTGTGCCAAACCGGTCCTTGCTCAAAACAGCGGTACCAACAAGGGAGTAAAACTGGGCATATGCGGATGCCGCCGCTGACGGGTGCGAAACTTCAACCACAACCAGGGGACGGTGGCGCTTTTGGATGTGACATCCTCAAAATCACCCAAATGAGAGTGGTTTAAAGCAGGGCTCGGAGTGACGTCCTCAAACTGATCCTCTAAATTGTGATTTGCAGCGGTTTCCCAACCTAAAGGCAACTTTGAGAACCTCTCACTGTAAGTGACCCAGGCCTCGTTTTCTTTTTTCAGGCTGGGGAAGCCATGTCTTCTTGGGGTGTCTTGCCCTGTACTTGCAATTGGGATGTGCTTGTTCTTGATCTGAGGGAGTGACCTCTTCCATTTGGGGTTTTGGGTCATCAGCCCCTTGCCCCTTGACACAGACCCAAACATGGACCCCGAGCGAGCCGTGTTCTTTCGAGTTGGGCACCGGACCGCAAAGACTTGTGGCTCTTCCTTTGCTTCTTTTTGGTCACCGTCACCATGGGGCTAGGCGCCTGTTCATCTCTGATCGGCGTTCTCCTTGGCTGTGTTTTTTTTGCTTAGAAAGGATCCTGGAAATGGGGAGTGATCGCTGTACATGGAGAAGGCCGGTTCCTTTGGTTTCCCTTTGAAACCACATCGGGGCACTCCCCCCCCTTTGTTTGATTCGCTGATCTGGAAAATGGCGTCCGGTTGTTCCTTGGGTTTCCTTTTGGAACTCACTCCAAAACGGATCTAATGTTGACCCCAACTGGGGTTGAGCAACACAGGGGTGTCCCTGGGTGAAATGTGGGGAATCAGGCCATTTTTGGAGGAGCCAAAAGCCACCCCCTATTCATAAACTGGGCTTGATTAATTCGGGGTCAACATTACCAAAGGAAGGGCGACTCCATCCTCTGCCTCGCTGATCGGTTCTTCCTTTGGTTTCCCTTTTGGAGCCCCCTCTCCAAACCCAGACACGTCTACCAACGGAAGGGCACCATCCCACCTTGACTCGCGCCTCCCGTCTCGGGCCTTCGCGCCTTCACGCGGGGCGCGCCACGAGGTCTCCAGCGCCTTCAAGGAGCTGAGTCTGCCGGTGCGCCGCTTCCGCACCGCGCGCGCGGACGCGGCCGTCTCCCCGCGCCTGGCGCGGCAGCTCTGGGCGCCCGCGGAAAGCGCCGCGGCGGAAAGCGGCGCGGGCCGAGAGGCGGCAAGGGCAGGGTGGATGGGCGGAAAATCCGTGGCAGCGGCGGCGGTTTGTTGCTGGTCTCTATGTTTTTATAAAGCTATCTGCCCCTAGGGGGTTGATTGGGAGGAGATCGGAGGGCAGCAGGGGGGTTCCGAGGCTGTATAGGGGATACCTGGGCTGATTTATCCCATGAAGTTGGTCTTCTGCATCCCAACTGGTGCGTGGATTTGTGTCCATCATGTCCCGAAACAGCTTGGCGGCCCTCAAGAAATCGATCGCTGGCGCTCCATTTCCCTCAAAGGCGGCCTTTGGGGAGAAGACCACTATTGAGCTCCCATCCGAAAGTGCCGAGCCTCAAACAAGACAACACCAGTTAAGGGTTCCAAACGCAGTTTCAATGGAACCCACAGCCCAAATGGATGTCAAACCGGGGAATTGGACCCCACAACTGATGGGTGTCCTTTCCGCCTTAAACCAAGCGGAAATGGTGCTGACAAAAAAGCGCACGACATCCGTGTGAGCTCACGGAAGTCAAAAACTCAGGATGGAGGTGCCTTGTTCCACATGGAATCTGTCCAAATTGGTTTCCCGTGGGATCCCTAAGCGTATCAATGCAACAGAGAAGACGACCTGCTAAAGCCATCGCCCGCTCCCCCAGGAACAAAAAACAAAAACAAAAGCATACCCGCCTAGGTCGATTTGAAAAGGAGCCGACATACGACGCCTCCCTTTCAAAAAGCAAGGGCAACCAGGGCCAGCCGCCCCTTGTTCGGGGGTCCACGGCCCAAGGTGCCATTTTTGTGCCTAAAACAAGCTCAGACTTAACCCCAAGGGCGGGTTGCTTTTTGAAGGGAACCCCCTATGGGGGAGTCGCCTTAAGGGAACTCCCTGGGTTGAAGTCAATGGGGTCAAGTCCACTGGAATGCCGCTCCCATCTTGAGCCCAACTTGGTCCCGGCTCCCGGCAGTCGGTGTGCGCGCGACTTCGCGCGTGTGACGCTCGCCTCTTCAGGACCCCGGCGACGGCCTGGAGCGCCTGGGCGTGGGCGCGGCGGTGCTGGATGGCTACATCGCGCCGCAAGTGGCGTGCCGGGCGCGGGAGGAGTTGGAGGCTGGGCCAACGCGCGGCCGGGGGGGGGGAGGGGGGGCTTCAATGTAGTGGATAAATTTGGTGCATCCAGAGGTCTAGTAAGAGTTTCTGTGAATAACTTACTAAACAAGGGGGAGGAGTGCAGAAATTTGAGGGTTTGGGAAAATGTGATTGATTTGGATTTGATTCTGTTGGGAATATGCCAGCACCTCCCAGCAGATGCTCTTTCCCATGTCCAACATCCTAAGCACTGTGCAAAAGCAGCTGTGTGGGGGGGGGGGGGGGTGGTTGGGTTATGATGTTAGCACCTTAGTTGTTCAAAACCGACCTGAAATGACCTTGTAGGTTCCCCTGGTGGCAACCATTTCTAGCAATGGTCCCAAAGACTGTCCTTTGGGCAGCTAGGGGTTGATAAAAAGTCCTTTTTTCATGAGATGACCATCAGGGAAACCACCCAAAAAAGATGACTTCCCCCACTAAACCGGAAAAGTTGCCCATGCTCAAAACTGGGGGGCTTTTTCGCGGAATATTCGTCAACCACCAGCTGAGACACCGCGAAAATCATGTTGCTTGGATCCGATTTCACCCCAACAGCCGGCAGGATTTGGCGCGCCAAGGCCGGCTTAGCGACTTCTCCAGCAGTCCTTCGGCGGCAAAAAAACACTTGTCGCGTTGGTCGCGCCAAGGGTTTTCACGAGGGGGAGGATTTTTGCAAGGTGCTGGCTCCAGTTGTCGATTGCCCCAAAATAGACTTTAACCCAGGTGTTCCCTTTTCAAGGAAGTCAAGAACTGGGCTTATGTGCGCCTTGGGGTAGGCAACAATGGTTCTGTTGATTGCCCCAAAGTAGACCAGGCTCTCCAAATGTGGCGATCGTTTCAATGGACACCCACCAGTAAATTTTAAACTTTTGTTGAGGGCAATGTTGAGGGGGGTTCTCATGAAAGAAAGGACTCCCCCCTAAAGGGCCCTCCGTTCTAGTATGTGAAGGGTGTATTTGTCGGGAGTCAGCAGTACCCCCCATTTTTGGTTGGCTTGAAGATATGTTTAGGGAACCCAAAGAGAAACCACGAAACTGTGACAGTTCCCTCAAATAAGACCAACAAACAATTTCCCGTGGTTGGGGGAAACATGGCCACGGAGCTTTTACCACGACACGTCTTCTGGTTGACCAGCGGTTATATGGGTGTGGCTCAAAATTGAACAGGAGGGGCTACGCAGGTTTTGGTCAATGTTTCCACTTACCAGGGTTCCATTCTGGTATTCCGGTTTTTTGAGCCACAGCCATATAAGCCATGTTCTCTTGAGTGGCAACCATTTTTGCTCTGTTCCATTTGGGGTTTGGAACTTGGGAGGAGCTCCAAGCTTCAGCCACAAGAATCAGAGCGACGAATCTTCCCATGGCTCACAACAACTTTTGGCCGCTCGAGTCCCAAGTTGTCCAAAAGGGTTGGCCCAACTAGAGAAACCATTTGAAGTATGTTAGAAACTGCAAAGCAGGTGTCCTTAGCAACGCAACCCAATGGTGGAACCCCTGGCTCTCTATTGAGAAAACACATATATATATATATATATGTATATAATTATTTATACATGTGTATCTCTTCTTTTCACATATGCAACAAGGAATGTAGGTGTATATATGTATATATAGACAAACACAGACACACATCCATATATATATATATATATATGCTACCCCCCCATGGACCCTGGTTTTATTGCCTTTTGGGGATGGCAAATCTAGCAACTCAAAATTTATATTCTCGAAATTTCCACTTGTGGGTCCCCAAAACCTGATAACTTGGAGCCCGGAGTCCTCCATAATGTCCCAATATGATACCCTTTCCAAATAGGAGTTTTACTTCAACTAGAATTGGAATTTTGAATATAGTTTAGTATATAAGGATATAGTTTTCAAAAATGTGTTTATGTTCAATTACAGCTTAACCAAGCAAATCCTTTCCAAATAGGAGCTACATGAAAATGTGAGTATATTTTCGGGCAAACTCCAACTAATCTATAACAAAATAAGTTACTTGGAAGTGTTTTCCCAAAGATGATCCAAGTGTTTCATATAATCTAATACGAACGCAACTCAAGTAGCGTTTGATAATAATGGGTAAATAGAGACTACTTCTCAAATATACTTCATATTAAATATGGCGATACATTTACAGGACTTCTACAAGGAAATTCAAAATACGATTTGTGTTATTCACATTCTGGCCCTTTTGTAGGATAAGAAAGGTCCGACATTGAACTTGGTAGACGGTGTTCCAAAGGGACATTTCAAGGGAAGAGAGGTTCAAAATCTAAAATTATCTCGAAACAGGGATTCTAGCTAAACCAGTTTCATTTGAAGTTCTATTTGCACCGGAGACAAATTCATTCTATCTCAAAAGGTGGAGGTAGTAGAAGGTAGTGCAAGAGGGGGGGGGTGACGGTGTGTGAACGTGCATACATATGTGTATCTATATATACACATACATACACACATACATAGTACCCCTAATGGTCCGCGCCTCCTCATAAAATACTGGACAATACAGCGTTTTTGAACATTACACCTACCTTTGTTTATGTCCTGGAAAGGGGTCAAGATGAGCATAGCTGACATAACCAATAACTTGAAAGTGTGTCCACTGGATCGCTGAGCACTTGAACATACTCCATCACCGGATGGAAGATTCAAGATTGAAGATTACGCAGAAAACTTTGCTGATAATTTGTTAATGTTGAAACGCATGTGGAAACATGAACTGTGTTGGCAATGCTTGACCACAATGGCGCATGCCATTTTGGCTCAAGCTTTGCCCTGGGTTCTTTGAACCCAATTTGTGTGAAAAAATACCCCGAACTAACTCCGATCTAGCAATGGCTTCCTCGGCAACCTCGGCAACCTCCTTCGAGCTGATTGAGGACCAGAAGCTCACCGCGGAGGAGGTGGAAATGGCCAGCCAGGAGGCCCAGGAAATTCGCACACGCGAGGCGGCAGTGGCGGCCGGCCTGGTGTTGGACGAGCCCGAGGCCCCCCCGTCGGCTTCGGCTACCGACGTGATGAACGACCTCTCCAGTGCACTGGAGCGTCTCCGTGTGGCCTTCTCCACACCGACTTCCGGCCTGGGTGCCCCTGGCCCCGCCGAGGAGGAGGACAAGGACATGGAAGATGCGGACGCCACGGAGCGGGCTACTCCACCAACGAAGAGGCTGAAGGGTTTCGTGGCGGCTTCCCAGAAGACCACGGCTCAGGTGAACAAACCGGTCTCCCTTGTGCCGGTGGAGGGCCGTCCCGGCTACTTCAAGTTGGTGGACCTCCCAGACCTCTTCCCGGTCCTTCCGGCATCGGCGGCCACGTTGCTGCGGGACGTCACGGTGGAGGAGGCGGTCTCCCTGTTCCACAAGTTTGTCGGGAAGAATCTCACGGAGGACTTGGTGATTCGCATCCTGGAGGCCTATGTTCCGATGAAGATCCAGATCCGGCAGGAGGAGGTCTGGGCCTCACAGTTCCAGAGGAACAAGGCGTGCATTGGCACCCAGCGGATGCACAGACTCGATGCCGGCCACTCAGACTACAAATTCATGTGCAAGGCATGCGGCACGGGGTGGCCGGAGGCAGCCAAGCAATGCTGGGTCTGCCCGGGCAAGGAGTTCGTCCCCTTCCAGGCACCCTCGGCTACCTACGAGGCGGACGGCGTCAAGTACAACCTGCTCATTGTGGAGGGCAAGCCGACCTGGATCCAGCAGCGGGAAGGGGGAAGCCTGGGTGCCGCTGGCCCCGGTGGTACCCGGGCACAGGCAGACCGCAACCTGGTGGACGGCACGGTCCTGGGGAGAGCTCCTCCGAAAACGGACACGGCAGAGGAGATTACCATGGCAGACGTGGTCCCGCTCAACAGGCGGGTGGACATCCGGCAGGAGATCCTGTCCATGGAGGCGGACGATGAGGCGTTGAAGGTCCGGGAGCACCAGGAGGTCAAGGTCAAAGTGCAGCGGTCCCTGAAGGAGGCGGAGGCTCAGAGCTTCCAGCTCTACCACCGGGAACCGACCCCGGAGGAGTCCTCGGCCAGGCGGCGGCACAAGGAGTTGGTCACGGACGAGATGCTGGACAATGAGATGGCTATCCTGGCGCCTCTCCAGGAGGGCATGCAGGCCCTGCCGTCAGAGGAGGTGGCCAATGAGGGAGCCCGGGCCCTCAGGAAGGTCAACCTGGAGCGATTCAAGGCCAAGCTGCGAGATCAGCACCCTCAAGCCCTTGGAAGTGTCGGCGTGGCCAGATGATCTCAGGCAGGCACTGGAGAGGGGGCTGTTCTGCCCCCTGGAGCTGGATGACCCCGAGAACATCCCCAACGTGGGTGACATCAAGGAGAAGTATGTCCCCTACATCAGGAGGCTCAGAGAGGCGCAGAACCCATGGAACCAGGAGGCGCTGCTGGAGGAGATGCCCGATCTGGCGGCACCGGCCCCCAGTCAATGCCACAGCAGGACCTGAAATCGGAGGAGGGCAAGCTGTCCCTGCTCCTCTGGGCGATGAAGAGGCACCAAGGCGAGCTACGGATGTTTGGGGGGATCTGGAAGAAGCACTCAAGCGGTGAGATCCCCCAGGGCGCGGACCAGCAATTCAAGCTCACTCCGGAGGAGCTTCTGGCCCTGGAACGCAGGACCCACCCACTCACGTGCGAGCAGGACCACATCGACCCTGTCATCTACACGGCCTTGGAGATCCGAGCGCAGGTGAACCGGGGCGAGCGCCCGGCGCCGGAGCAGGTGGTGGGGATCTTCTGGGCGAAGGGCGATGGAGTGTTTTGGGTGTACGCCCACAGGTTCACCTTCAAGTACATCTACTCGGCCTGGACCACCTTCCCGCTGATCGTGAAGACGCAGCGCCGGGGCCGCAATGCGGAGGGCTCGGCCTCGGACAAGTGGATGGGCAACATCCTCCAGATGAGGAAGGAGGCGGTCCCCTTCCTGGAGAGCCTGGGAATCCCCAAGCCGCGCAGCGAGGCGGAATGGAGCTACATCTTCAAGGAGATGGGGATCTCGGGTGGGGGGAGGAGTAAGGGTGTCCCCTGTTGGGTTCTTCTTTCACCTGGGTTTCCCCCCCTGTTCAACGCGTCACGACTGCCGGTTTGCCTCGATCTGGAGGCTGCATTTGGCTGCCCCAAGGACGGCCACAGTTTGGAGAAAGTGGCTGCGGCTGACTCTGGGTTCCCTGAGGTCCCCTTGGGGGTTTTTTGGGGAATCCCCCGCCAGGTTGGTCTTCCCCCCTCCGTGGTCCTTTTTGGGGATTTTCGGGGGTTGACTTTTGGGTCCTGTTGGGCTGCATGTGGCCTGCCTGCCCCATTTGCACTCGGCATCCTGTGGGGTTGGAACATGCGTGCAGTGTGCCGCGGTTGGGTCCCGGCCGTTCAATAGGAGGCTCGAACCCCCCCATTTTCATCATGGCTAGGGTCTCTGCACAGTTTCTTTTGCGCCCGCCTTACACTCGTCTTTGGGACCGCATTCCAAGGGTCCTGTGGGACACGTTGGCGGATGAGTCCTTCTCCCCGAGACAGACGGACGGGGAGCTGCTGGTTCTGATGTGCCTGCGCCATGGCACGGCAGAGGAAGGGAGGCAGCTGGGCGGGGAGCCGGCCATCCGCT